CAGAACCGGCCCTGCTTGCATATAAAGATAAATTGATCTACAGTTGAACTGCATTTGATTCTCAACTCAATTACATTTGTCCCGCATTGATTTTCCACAAAAAAAAATCTCCATCCAAACAACCATCAGGTGGCACCCGACGACAAAAGGAAAAGATCTTCGTAATATTTTTTAAAATATGGGAGGTCTATATGTAATTAGACTTAACCTCGGCAGAGGAAAATGTACTGTTTAATCGAGGATAAAAATGAAATTTTTTGATGTACAATAGAGTTGGAAATTCCGATTAAAAGAAAAATCAAATTGATCAGAATAAAAATTCAAGATTGCAGTTCGAAAAGTCATTCCAATTCCTATCCCCAAATTCGAAAGTTCACTAAACTCCACTAATGACTTCTGGCCGGATTAAAAATTCTTAGAAGTATGAGTTACTGACAATATATATCTCAAACCATGGAAAATTTTATAGTAAGCTCTTGCTACCACTATGTGCTTGAAGCATCTACATTCTACATTGAAGAAGAGTTATCCAGATGTAGATGGTTCATCGAAGTGTCAAGTCTGAATATTGATAAGTTGTTTCAATCGTTATCTTTTCATTTTGTAAGGCATTCGGGCAATAAATTAGCTCACGTTATTGCTAAATCTCTTGGTGAAGACTGTCACGAGGGTGTTTCTCTCCCTCACGAACTGGCCAATATCTTCTAATATATATATGATCTTATTTCTCAAAAACAAAAAACAAGAAAAAAATACACCCTAATAGAGAAAATATGTAGGACTAGGTCCACCCCTAAAATTCATGTTTTGAGATATCCCCTAGCTCTTTTTGTAGCGAAAATTCCCCTCCGTTACATAAATCAACATATATCATTATCTAGACTGCATTTAGTATTTTCGTTGTATTTATTTATTTATTTATTTAATAGATTTTTTTATTTCGACGAAAAATCAAAAAAAAAATCTCATTTTTTTTTCTCGATAAGCTTACTACGTCGAATATGACTATACATGACTATAGTCCTACTCTTGCTTCATATTACCGTTTTTAATTTAACTTAAATTTTATATTTTCAATTATATAATGTATTACAATCATGTTTATCGAAATATATATATAAAAAAAAACGAATATTGACTATTATTTACCAAAAAAATCCAATCAACATTCACAAAATAAAATCATAATTTGAATATTGTTATTACAAGTCAACTTGTAGCCCACAATATAGATGAAAATAAACACGTGTAAGTTCTTCGACTAAAACAACAACGAGCATCACTATACATTAGAACACCTACTGGTCTTATATATGACTATACATGACTACATATGACTACATAGTTGATTCTCTTCAATTGACCTGCTGTTGGCCCATCTTCTTTAGCATCATTGACTTTTGCGGAAGCGCAAGCGACGATGATGGTCGCAATTATCACAAATATAGTTTACTTTCGTATATAACTATAGTCATATTCAAATATGACTATAGTCATTGTTACTGTTGGGGCTCAAAGCTGAAATTGTATGTCTTCACATCTGAAAAAAAAAAAAAAAAAAAGATATAGAAACAGACAGACATAGAGATAGAGATGGAAAGAAGATAATGATAGCGAGGGAGGGGGAGGCGGCGACAATGGCGGTGAACTGAAGATAGAGTGAGGGAGGCGGCGACAGTGGTGGTGCTGTACAGATCTGGAAAAAAAATAATTGAGAGAGATAACGAAAAAGAGAGAGAGATTTATGTGGAAACGGAGGAGGAGGCGGCGGCGGTGGTAGAGGAAGCTCGGATTTTTTTCGAAGAGAGAGTTGAGGGATTTAGGTTGAGAGGCGAAGAAGATAGGAGATGAAAGTCATAGAGGTGGAGACAAATAATTAGGATTTAGGATTATAGTGGTTGAGTGTATTTTTATCTTCTCACAGTAGTGCAGCCCCAAGAGAGTCTCACAAATTAAAACTGGGATTTGGAGCGGACAAAAATCAATAAAATCAATTGAGTTTAATTCATAATATTATCCAACTTAGGAGATATTGCACGTTATCCCAATACAATGATTCAAGATTCTAAAATACTATATTTGTTTTTTGAATAAATAATTTACTATTATTTTAACTTTGTCACATATCCATTGCAATTATTCGTGTGCGGGTCCTAACTTTTTCTTGCTATCATAGGTTAGTTAAGATATAATCGGTAGTTGCAAATACATAATCAGCTGAAATTAGACCAAATTGGATTAGGCATCAAAAGCAAGTTTGAAAATTTGAAGCTTATTCATTACTGCACATGTAACAAAGTTAAATTCACATGAAAAATATTGACAGCTTTGAGCTTTTAGCTTTTAGCTTTATTGGTTCAATTATTTGCTTATTTGATTTTCTCATTTGGATTTGGATTTATATAATTAGCTTTCAGGACTTGATAAATGTAGGACGACTTTTAGTAAACATACGACGCTTTATTTAAAAAGTCAAAACCTAACATCCCCCATCATACATCAAACATGTTTTTGGTAAGTTTAATTTCGACTATATTATTTTATCGCAATATCACATCATGATTAATCATCAATGATTAAATTTATTTGATTTGCAGCATAGTATGTGTTTTCGTCGTTTTTGCGCTTGAATCAGATGCACAACGCTCATAATTGCGTATGACTCAGATGAAAAACAACAAATTTGCATCTGTCTCAAACACGAAAACAGTTAATTTTTTTTGTGGAGGAAGATAAACACCAGATCTTTGTGAGATTGTTGCTAAAAGTTGGCTAGAATATGGTGTTTGTCTTCCTCCGCAAAAATCTATACTCCACCGTTCACTATAAGTCATCCTGCAGTTATCATTCCAGTTAGCTAAAATCTCACCGTTCTTGTTTGTAATTCATCCTATTTCATATTTTCTTGCAATATAGAATTTGATTCTAGTATCAAACCGATCTTCCAAAGTAATATGTATAGCGAGCCCGATTCATACTCGTGCATGAGACATTGGAATCCAAATTATATAACGGACAAACTTATAATGATTTTATTAATTATAGCCGAGAAAAAACAAGAATGTTGAATTTATTTGGTATAGTTTTAGTGAAGATCAGCTGAAACATACAGTAGAACTTCGATAAATTAATAACCTCACTTAAATAATAATTTATTCCAGTCCCGACTCTTTAAAAACGTACTCAGTTCGATGATTCAATAATTCGCTAAATTAATATAATTTTATTAGTTTAAATTGTACTAATTTATAGAGATTTGCTCATTTATCAGGCAAAAGACAACAATAACCCATATATTTTAATAAAAATTATATATAAAAAAAAAAAAAGAAAAAAAAAATTGTGGATCCAAGAAATGTAACCAACCAATATAATCACAAAAAAGACCAAGAATGAAGGACCCAATTTATCATGATGATGACATTTGAGAGTAAACTTCATGGTAATGATAATGGAAGGAGGGACCCCTCTTTTTTTTATTATATTTTTCTTCATCTTAGATTTCCCATACACTAAAGGTTGCATGTATGTGTGTATGTGTGTATATATATATATATATATATATATATATATATATATATATATATATATATATACGTATATATTATATATTATAATGGTCAATATTCTGCTAACACAAAATATTTGTGGTAGTGTGAGCTGTTTTCTGATAGCAACCATTCTATGAGGAATCCAGAAAATGTACCATTTTTGTTCGCATGTTTTTTGGTATGCTGATTCTTGAAAATAATAATAATAATAATGGGCAACAAATTAAAGTAGATAAATAAAGCATTATTTTAAATAGTTGATAAGTTCTTACATCTGATAAAGTGTGTTTTAAGAGCTGATAAGTTATTACGTTTTAATTTTAGGATTAAACTTGAAAGTGTTTGGATAGTGATCTTATAAGTTATTTTTACTCGATATAAAATCTTAAATAAAAAAATGGGGTAGAGCTATTTAAAAAAAAAAAAACAAATCTTATTTGGTCCCCAATAGATTGTTTTGTGAAATTTTAAGATTTTTTTTTAAATTACCGAACACTTTGGAAGAGCCTAGCTATAAGCTCTTAAATATCTTATAAAGTTTTTTAACAGCTTATAAGCTTAGCCAAACACCCTCTTAAATTAAAATCGAATAGAAACTTTGTTGCAAATAATAAAAAAATATTCGACGAAACTTTCAAAATTCTGAATGAAATATATAAAATTTTCAATTTTTTTTCTATTTAAACCCGTAATTTCCGATTATGAAACAAAAATATTTATTCCAACTTTCATCTTTTCCTAAATTATTTGGAATGAAGATAAAATTAGTTTTCACTTGGGAAAAAAATATATAACTTTTTTTATAACTGTTAATTCCGATCCATCAAATTTCTACCCAACTCATTTCTTTGGGAAAAGTAAATGACAACTTTATATATAGTTTGTATAATTGGGTGTACCTTGGTAGTGGGACTAGCAGAAGATACTGTTCTTGAACAATAAACTACAATATTTTATTGCATTCTCACTATTTTCCAACTCTAACTAAAATTCCACTTTTTTCCTCCATTAAACCCAAAAGCCTGTCAAACATGACCCCACCCCTTTTGAAAATTGAAAATAATATTTGCCCATTCCCCAAACTTGCTTCTCCTTTATATAAATTATAATAAATTACGACCACATTTGAGATATGGTTAAATTACGAGAAAAAAAAATCTCTCAAATATGAATCTTCATAGACGTCTATTTTTATGGTGTCAAATTCAACATAATCTTCCAGATATTTCGTGGAATATTTTATAGTTTGTATATGTTTTATGCAAAAATAATATTTCTGATGCACCACAATCTGATATTTACAAGCCAAGAGACGTATTTATGATCATCTTGTTTCAAAATGTGGAGCTCGAATGGAGTAAAACGAGTACAAACTGGAGAATATTCCACATATTCTAGAAGATTCCACTAGATTTGGCACCACAAGAGTGGACATGTAAGAAAATTCACAGTTGATGGGGTTGTAGTAATTACTCTAACAGAAGAATTTTTTCCATAATTTGACATTGGCTCAGATGTGACCGCAATTTACCCTATAAAATAAAACATGCTAATAACCAAAAGCCAAACACACACACACACACACACAAAGTATTACTATAATCATCCAAGCCTTGGCTTTACAAACCGAAAGAGGAAAGAAGGTAAGACTAATGAGAGAATAATGTGCTACTTTTTTCATTATCTTGCATAAATATATACCCATAGATTTAGAGATCAAGAAAGGGACTAATATTGCCATGCCCAACATTTGTACCTTTTATTTTTTGCAGCTGGTTTTTCTCTCATTCTTGAAGGTGCCATTTTTCCATCAAGATTGAAAAACATGCCATCTTCGCAGAATATCGAGTCGACCAACAAATACAAGGTATATGATGTATATAATTTCAAGAACCATTATTTTTTTAGTAGTATTAGTTTGAGTTATTATTTGAGGTGAAGTTTTTGATGAATAAATAAAGTGTGTTTGGTTTTTCAGATGAGTGGTGAAGTGTTGTTTGAAATAAAACTACATGGATTTCTTCTGTGGGCTTCAGTTGGATTCTTGATGCCTGTTTCTATACTTGTGAAGAGGATGTCTTCTTACACACAGGAATCTCCTACAAGGCTAAGATTCCTTTTCTATTTTCATGCTATTACACAGGCAACTCCCCTAATTATATTTTCTAATTTCTTCCATTTTTTTATTTTTTTTTTAATTTATTCCCATTTTGAAAGAAACTATATTATGAATTAAAACTATTTTTTCTTTTTAATTTGTTACCTTTTCTGTAATTTTTAATATATACATGATGAATAATATCCCCACAGTGTTTTGTCATTACAACTTTGGGAACTTTGTTAGTTAGATAAATGTACCCCACAGTTAAACTTTTTCATGACATAAATAAAATGCAATTAATTACCTTTAATTGTTACTAATTATTATGAATACTTTGAGGAAAGAAAAAGAGTGTTTTTTTTACCTTTATTCCTAAGTTGATTTATATAAGCCCACAGGAATTTTTTTTTTTTAATTGAAAATTTTCATTGTCTTGCATTAATTCAGTGATACCTATTTATTTTTCTCCAATGTGATTAAAATATATATTATGACTTATATTAATATTTAATATGCAGGTTATATCGGTCCTCGTTGCAACGGCAGCAACAGTAATGTCGATAAAATACTTCGACAACTCATTCAACAACGATCATCAAAGAATCGGGCTAGCCTTTTATGCTATCATGTGGTTTCAAGCATTTCTTGGCATCTTCAGGCCACATAGGTATATTCCCTTCTTTAAATGACCGGTCGGTCGGGTCGGGTTGGGTCAGACCAGTTCTTAACCGGTCCATGGTCAACAACCCGAATTTAACCGGGGTCAACAACTCGTTGACCCTAGCCCAAGCTAGTGAAGTATTCTGATTAAATTTCTAAATACTGGAATTTTACCATCAATCCTAGAAAAATCAACTGAGTAGAGTCGAAATCAGAACCGAATTTCCAATTTCCCCCAATTTCGATCCGATTTTTTTCAATTTGGAACAATATTTTTCATTATGAATTCCGAAATTCCGATTTTTCCATAATTTTCAGATCGGAATTGGGGATAATTATATGAGATCCCAATTGAAGATCCGATTTAAGTTTCCAAAAATTATTCCGAAAATTCCGATTTTTTTTTCCCGAATAGTACACCTATAATATAAATATTAGGGTAAGTTACGAAAATCCCCCTTAACTTAGGCTAAATAACGAAAAACACCCCCACTTATATGTAATAAACAAAATCCCCCTCCGGTTAACCGTTGGTCGAGTTTTTTAACAGAAAATGTGTACAGTCTATTTATACCTTCTATTAAATAGGTGAGAAATAAAAGAAAACATCTGAAATTGTGTAAAGTCTATTCCCTTGAATAAAAAAAAAATCCCTGAAAAGTCACACTATAAGGGGTTGGTGTAAGTCAGAAACAAACCTCAGGGGATTTTTGGTAATTACGAACATGTGGGGGTATTTTTCGTTATTTAACCTAAGTTGGGGGGTTTTTGTATATTATTATGCATTTTAACATATTCTTTGATTGCAGGGGAAGCAAAGGCAGAAGTATATGGTATATATTTCACTGGCTAATGGGAATAGCACTTTCTTTACTTGGAGTGATCAACATATACACAGGTTTACAAGCTTACCACAAGAGAACATCAAATAATGTACGAATTTGGACACTCGTATTTACTGTTCAAATCTCGCTCGTATTTTTCGTTTACATTGTTCAAGAAAAATGGCATTACATAAAGAAACAGCGCGACGTTATCGGAAACAAGACAGTGCAGCCTACGGATCAAGAGATGTCTCCGAATTACCAGCAGCATAAAGAAGTATCGTCCGAACCTTGTTGAGAATTAATTATATACGAAACTTATAGCTATTTAGTCATATTTTGTATTCACATTGGATTCTTTGCAATCTTCTAATGATTTTTTTAATTTTTTTTGCATTATTGTTCGATTTTCGACTTCATATATGTAAATAGCAGGGTAAAAATCGGATGGATCGGATTAAGCATTTTCGGAAAAAACCTGATTGTTTCTTTTCTAAGTGAAAAACTAATTTCAATTTTGTTCCAAAAAAATTCAGAAATCGAAATTTCAGATTTTGGAATGGAGAAACTCTTTCCAAAAGCAGAAATTTCCATATCGTAGTAAGTGGAATTCGAAAGAATTCCATTTTTTTAGTCACCTAGAATATAAGGGTAATTTTCGGAAATTAAAATTGGAACGAAAATCGGAATCTCGCATACCACTTCCAATCCAAAAAAGTTCATAAAAAATCTGAATCGGAAATTTTGGAATTTGGAATGAAAAATGTTGTTCCAAAATTGGATTCAGATTGGAATCGGCGGAAATCGGAAATCCTGTTCCAATTTCCAGCCCTAGTAAATAGTGATTATACAAGAAAGTCTTGCACCACTCAAACTCCAGTGCTACTTAACACAACTAGGGGAAATAATTATGAGATAAAAACATAATCGTATTGCGAATTTATATTATACCGATCGAAAAAAAGAAAAAAAGGATGTGAATTGGTGATATTTATATAACATGTCACTGAAAAAGGGATGATACATCGACGTAACCTGTTGCGATTGCAATTCCTAATATTAAAATAGGCGGAAGAATAACAAATGCACCGATAGTGGCGAAGAAAACGGAATCGTTCCTCTGAGAAACTTCGTTCAAGTAAGTTTGCCTTCGTATATTTCTCTTCTGCGATACGGTCAAGAATTTGGGTGTCCATTTCTTCAGATTCTTACCTAACGGAATGGTGAAATCGTCGTCTCTTTTTCCCACTAAATTAGCGAGCTGCTCGCGGATTGTGGGCCCACTAGAACTACTATCGCTGACATAGCCTGGTTAAGACGAGTTTTTAACGTTTTAATTTTAAAAAAGACAGAATAAACACAGACGATTTATTTATATAAACAAATAATAAATAATACCATCAATAGACGAGCGGCCGGAGGTGAGTTGGTCCAAGAGATTGAGTTGCGCACGAGCCGAAGAGGATGGTCCTTTTACATTCGAAATTAAGGAATATTCCGTTAGCAGTGTGAACAGAATCATGTATAACGACTTTATGAACCAAAAGAATTGAGAGACAAATTACAACATCTTTTTTTTGTTTGATTAAATTCGACTTAGTCTACAACTTCAATTCGCAAATGGAAGAATAATCCGTTGATTTCCAGATTTACTCTTCGAACTAAGAAGCAAAATCAATTTGCGACGAGACTCAAAATCATAACAAACAATCGGAATGAATTTTTGCCAGCTCAGCAATACTTTAAACTTGTTTTAGAACTATCTATGAGCCAATGAGCATTCAAGATTCTTGAAAATAAAAGTACATATCCCAGATTAATCATCAATAAATCCAATAACTAAGATAAGAAAAAAAACCCCAAATTAAATCAGTTCATATTTTGACCTAATTAAAAATCCCACTTTTAAATTTAAAATCAAACACCCGGTGCAACTTAATATGAAGAAAATTGTACCAAATTTACCAGAGAAATTATATCTAAATTTGGAACAAGAGATTATAAACTAATGTAATTTTCGAAATCTACGAAATTCCGCCGATTCAGAAATCGGAATGAATTTTTGCATTCCGATTTTTTCGGAAAAAAAATTGTAACCTACATTTTTACTTCCGAAAAAGCCCTTTAATCCATTTCGTCCGATTTCCACCCTGATTAATCCTGTAGCTGCCAGCTAAGCACTACTTTAAGCTTATTTTAGAACTCTATGAGCCAATGAGCATTCAAGATTCTTAAAACAATGAATCCAATAACTAGGACCAAAACAAAATACCCAAATGAATAATCTTGCAATAGTAAAAAAAAAAAAAAAATCAGTTCATATTTTGAACTAATTAAAAAATCCCACTTTCGAATTTAAAATCAAACACACTCTGCAACTTCATATGAATAAAATCACACGAAAATTTACCAGAAAAAACAGGTTCTTGATCATCGTCGGCGACTCCTTCAGACAGAGAAGCAGCCGCCTTCAGACAAGGCGGAGATGGGCTGTAATAGAAATTAAAGGCGGCGGTTTTTTGCTTAGAAATCTTTGATGAGAGAAAGGGTCTAGGGTGTAGAGTAGTGGAAGCAGCTCCAAAATTGAGCGCCATGGAAATATTTGTTGTTTTGTTGGGAAAAAAAGGGGTTCCATTGTAGATGAAAAATTATTTGTTAAACCACCACCTCAATTTAAATTGCTCTTTCAGAAAATTTGCTCATCCACATATATTATTTTTTGGGGGTCAAATTTTTTTGAAGGTGTAAATTACGAGAAAACTCCTGAGGTAAGGCTTAATTATAAAAAATTCCCCTATATTTGTGTAATTGTAAAATTCCCCCTCTGGCCAGTGTTTGACCGTTTTAGTTTATAGAAAGGGTAAATTACAACCACTCCCGATGTATGGTTAAATTACAAAAACCCATCTCTTATTTGGGTAATTACAACCACCTCTCATCTATAAATCTTCTTACACGTCAACCCTTGCGGTTTTAAATGTAGTGGAATCTTCTAGATGAATATTATCACTTTTGTACCCGTTTTATCCTATTCGAACTCCACATTTTGAAGCAAGATGATCATAATATGTGTTTTTTGGCTTGTATATATCAGATTGTGGTGCATCAGAAGCTTTATTTTTGCACAAAACGAGTACAAACTAGAGCACGTTCCACGAAATCTAGATGATTATGTTGAATTTGACACCGTACCATAAGGGTGGAGATGTAAGAAAAAATCATAGTTGAGGGGTAGATGTAATTATCCAAACGAGAGAGGTTTTTTCGTAAATTGATCATACCTCAGAATTGTGTTTGTAATTTACCCTTTATAGAAAATATGTTTTGTCACGTTTTACCTTTTATATATTTGAAACAAAACAAAGGATAAATTACAATGACTTACACGGAACCATGATGTAAGGTCTAATTACGAAAATCCCTTTATGTTTGCATAATCAGACAAATCCCCCTCAAATATGTAAAACATACCAGAAGCGCAGCACAAAAAAGCCAACCGCCACAAAATAGAGGTAGAAAAACATAGCTATAAAAAATGTGTCTCGCAGTAGCACCGTAGAAAAATCTCTTACACAATGTTTGCACATACACATAATGAACGCGGACAAAATTCCTACGAGCTCGAAATTTTGCTTCTGTTTCGATGTGTCATCTCACTTTGACCACAGACAATTCCGAAAAGCTCCAAATCAACCATACATCGTTATGTTCGATTTTCACAATTTGTTCACATGCCTAGCTCAAAAATCGAACATAAAAAAAAAAGGTCGCACAAGAGCCAAATCAGAGATGATCGGCGACGACCGCCACAAACTACACTCTAAGACCGACGTTGTGGCACGGGAAAAAAACGAAGATCAAAGTCAAAAGTAGTGTTCGGAGAAAAACGGGAAAATAATGTGAAGAAAGAGTTGAGGGTTTTCTAATGTTCATGTTATATAGAGAGAGCAATATATAGAGAACAAAACTGGCAAAAAACATTCCCTTGCCTTTAGCAAGACTTTTCTAAGTAGTGGGTTTCTTTACGAAATAGAAAAGTAGTATGCCCATTTTTCAATTAAATGTTTTTGTTACGTACTTACATGCAATTTGCTCATTTTATTATTGCATGTTTCTAGTTTCATCCTCATCCTTTGCGACCGTCTAAATAAAATTTAGCATAATATAATCACGGTAATTGGTAATTCACGAATTTAATTCTCTGTTATTCAATACTTGGAACTCACTACTCCACAAAATGCGATATTTTATACTTGTAGTTTATTCTGAGATTTTGGGTGTATCGCGTATTCAAAAAGTCGATAACATAATTGACTCCCATAATTTATTGTTGGTGCCCAACATAATCAAGCAAATAATTGATAAAATCAAAAAGACTTGATATAGTATTCGCCATAAAATATTTTTTTACATTAGAAATATAGTTACTATGTAAAACAAAGGTAAAATGTTTTTTTCAGTTATGTAAGTTTATTGTTTGAGAGATTTAGTCCACCACATTTTAAAATCAAAATTTAGTCTTATAAGTTACAAAATTTGAGATATTTTGCTCTATAACCTATTATAACAATTAATTCATTAGTTGGTTGAATGAGTGACATTTAATGTATAACAATAAATAGATTAAACATTAACTTGATGATGTGGCGATTTTGAAGGTAATTTCATCCAAGACACCAAAATGGAGGAAATTAACATTTTCATTTATATATTATTTTTTTTGTTTTAGTTTGCTATTAAAAAATAATTAATGCATTTATATAATTAATGCTTCTGGTAAATTTAATTTAATATAGCTTTGAATATTTTATTATTATTTTGTGGTTAATTTGTAAATATGTGTTCGTTTTGCTACATTTTATTTATTTAAAATATCTTAGAATCTTTTTATGCCATTTAACTTTGCAACATATTTTATTTTCAATATCTTAAATTTTTTTTTGGGTGTTTTAACTTAACCTTTTTTTTGTTGGTTTACATTCATTTTGATCACTAACTATAAATTTGTAAAAATGAAATTTTTAGAGGCTTAATCTCACTTTGCACCCTTGAAATATATCATTTTGGCACTTTGCACCCTCGAAACAAATTAATAGCACTTTACACCCCCGAAACACAATAAATCATGCATAATGCACCCCAAATTAATTTTTAAAGTTAATAAAGGTAATTTGATATTTTAATGGAATTTGTTTAGGATGACAAATGTCAAATCTTTTTTTTTTCCATCAATTATTTTGAAATTATAAAGTCCAAGACTAAACATACATCTCATCAATATATTTAAATTTTTTTTATCACAAAAAAATATTTTACGAAAGAAATCATTAAGCTATTTCGTTATCAAGTTATCTGAAAATCATATTTATTCCAAATATTTTTACATACTATTTCCACCAGTTGCAATAAAAGATCCATCAATCGAATAATTTAGTGATAAAACTTTATTTTATTTTAATTTGTAAGAAAATATAATTGTTTTTAATAATTCAGTGTGATTTTTGGTTTTTCGCACTTGTGCGCTCGAAAATTAGGTGGAGGTTGAAGAAAATAACAATTTAATTTGTTATTTTGAATTCCGAAAAAAAAAACCAATAAAAAAATGAAATCGCCTTTATTATTCAATTCAGGGTGAACTGTAAATGATTTATTGTGTTTTGACGGTATAAAGTGCTATTATTGTTTTTTAGGGTGCAAACTGCCAAAAGGCTCCATTTCAAAGGTGCAAAGTGGGATTAAGCCAAATGTCAATTCTCCCATTTTGGTGTCCTTGACATAATGAAATTTCCCACCAAAATTGTCCTACTCATCAGCTACATCATCAATTTTATTTTTAATATATATGTTTTTATACATTAAATGTCAACTCATTCAATCAAAAAATTCTTTAAAATTCTGATTTTAAAATGTTGTGGACTAAATCTCTAAACTAGTAGACTTACATGACTAAAAAACTCGTTTCCCCTAAAACAAATTGTCAAAATTATGTGGGAGTTGAAAGAAGTTACTAAAAAGCCTAAAACCTCTTTTTTTTTTTTTTTTTTTTAATGATTTCACCATACTTCATGAAAAAAAAAATGTAAATACAATAAATCCCTATTTATATTTTGGCAACCAAAAATATAATTAAATTAAAACCCTAAAAACAAAAACAGAAGCCTTGAATCAAAAGACTAACATAACAACACACGTGAATTCACAAACTAACTCTTTTCTTTTCGCCTAAGAAATCGAAATTCCAAAATTCACGATCAAGAACAGTGGCGGAGATTACTAGAATCAGATTCCAGTAAATTGAATTGAATTGAATGTGGGAATTTATTCCTTTGGAAAGAATCCGACGCCACAAAGCAATGGCGGCCATAAAAGTGATCACCCTCTCTCCTTTTATAAACGCCGTTAAATCAAACAGCGCTAAAATCATAAACGGAATGTGGAAGAAGGGTTCATCGAAGAAAGAAGTGTTGCAGTTACAGGTTGTTGAACCAAAATCAAGAAATCCGATTCGTCGAAATAAAAGTGACGACGACGACGACGAACATCCGTATGCGTTTCATGTTTCCGGCCCTCGAAATGTTTCTCCTCTTAACTGGAGGGACCTCCTCTTTTCCACTTGGTCAGTTTTTTTTTTTTTTATTATTAGGGTTTCTTGAAATTTTTGCATGATTTGATTATGTTTATTTGATTAAAAATGTACTCCATTTGTTTCAAAATATGTGCTACTAAATCAACTTTTGTTGTTAGATTAGGTGATTTGGTTGGGTAAGAGATTAATCATGGTTAGTTTAATAATTAAATTATATTGGATGTTTGATTAGTCAAATACTTTTCGGGTCGACCCACAACTGATGAAAAAATATAGTGAGATTACTTATTGGAGCTCTCGCTCGTGGCCCAACAATACGTTGAGTTTTTATATGATTATTTAATTTTAGCTTGGCTGGTTCATCGTATCTTATGAACTAATCGAGGCGTTGGACTAATAAAGGTGAAAAAAAATTATATATATTTAATGCTTGATTGGAATTCTATAGTAACAGATAAGATAGTACGCAGCATTTCTTTTTTCTCTAAAATGACAGATAATTTGATAAGTACTTCCGAAGTTGATTTTTTAGATTTGCGAACGCGTTTTTAATTTTGAGTGCGTTTAGAAGCCCGTGAAATTCGATATGTATGATTCATGATTGAATTTATGTGTAGTTTTGAGAATTGAGATTGCTGTATTCTGTGTTTAATTTGTATTTTTCCATTACATAGTTCAATAACTAGAAAAATGATTTCATTGAATAATAAAAAACAAAAAAAAAAAAAAAAAAACAGGAAGGACAGCAATTACAAAAGGACAGTAATGGCATGCTTCACACAAGCAGTCTACCTCCTCGAACTCGACCGACAAGAAAACCGAAATGACGAATCCGCCCTCGCCCCCAAATGGTGGGCCCCGTTCAAGTACAAGCTCGTCGAAACACTAACAGACGAAAGAGACGGATCCATATTCGGTGCAATCCTCGAGTGGGACCGCTCTGCAGCGCTGTCGGATTTCGTCCTCGTGAGGCCCAACAACGCCCCGAGGGCGGTTTTGTCATTTCGCGGAACCCTCCTCAAAACTCCGACCATTAGGCGCGACATCGAGGATGATATTAGGTACCTAGCGTGGGAGAGCTTGAAGGGCTCGATTCGATTCACCTCCGGTTTGAAGGCGTTGAGGAAAATCTGCGACAAGTACGGTGACGCAAATATTTGCGTCGCGGGGCATTCGTTGGGAGCCGGATTTGCACTACAAGTTGGGAAGGCGTTGGCCAAAGAAGGGGTGTTTGTGGAAACGCATTTGTTCAACCCGCCTTCGGTCTCGTTGTCTTCGAGTCTGAAGAATGTGGGCGAACGAGCGGGCGAACTGTGGAGGAGGGTAGTCTCGGTAATAATGAGGCCTCCGGTCGACAGTCATAGTGAATCGGTGACGAATTTGGGAGAGAACAAGAAGAAATGGGTGCCACATTTGTACGTGAACGATAGCGACTACATTTGTTGCTATTACACGGATTTGGAGGGCGAGAAGAAATTAGCGACAAATGTTGAGAAGAAATTAGCGACAAATATTTGCGGTGGTGGGGGGAAGATGTTTGTGTCGTCGAAGGGGAATCAGAAGTTTGTCGAGGCGCACGGTTTGGAGCAATGGTGGGCCGATGATTTGGAACTGCAAACGGCGGTTAACGATAGTAAGTTGATTAGTAGGCAGCTTAAGTGCTTGTATAGTCTACCGCCTTCGGAGCAATCGCCGGTGAAGGCTCGATAAACGAGTGATTATATTATGATTAATCTTGAAAGTAATTAATTATGTACCCTTTAATTTGTTGAGCTGCTTGTTGTTCACAATTTTTTCAGGATTATATTATATTTCTTATTCTGCTAGATAGGGATAAAGTATCAGATGTGAAATAGTGACATCTTTATATATTCAGTGTTAGCCATACATTATTTTGTATTCTGTGATCATGGAATAGAGAATCGAATAATGGATATATAAATGTGTTTAGGTGAATTAAGAAGGGCAATTTACACACGTTAAAAAAAATAAAATATATAAAAATATTTGATTAAATGTAAAATATTAAACTTCAAAATTCAATAAAGCAGAACAAAGACGACTCCACTGGGGATCGAACCCAGAGTCTCTGGTTTCGTAGACCAGCGCCTTATCCATTGGGCCATGGAGTCAACTGTTGAACACAATCTTTCGATTTTTGTATCTAAAAGAATCATTACAACCACCCCTGATGTATGGTCAATTTACGAAAAGACCCCTCTTGTTTGGATAATTACATCTACCCTTCAACTGTGATCTTTTCTTACACCTCTACCATTATGGTGTCAAATTCAGCATAATTATCCAAATTTCGTGAAATGTGCTCTAGTTTGTACTCGTTTTGTGGCAAAATTCAGTCTATGATGCACCACAATCTGATTTTTACAAGCTTAAAAACACATATTATGATCATCTTTCTTCAAAATGTGGAGTTCGAATAGGATAAAACGGGTACAAAAGTGATAATAATCCATATAATCTTGAAAATTCCACTAAATTTGAAACCATAAGAGTGGACGTGTAAAAAGATTTATAGTTGAGAGAGGTAGTTGTAATTATCCAAACATGAGGGTTTTTTTTTATAATTTGACCATACCTCAGGGGTGATTGTAATCGTATTGTTAATTCATTCTAAGCAATGTAATGATTAATGGAACTAGCACTTCAATTTTTAAATTGGATAAATTATAAAGTCTATTATAAAATAAACCACCAAGCACTATTCTCAACTTTTTTACTATAAATCTTATATTTTGAACTAAAACCTAGACCTAACCCTATGAACAATTTTGTAAATTCTAAAATTCTAATCTAAAATTTCTCTATTTTTGTTCGTTCCACAGTTTTAAAATTGTTGGAACTAATATTTTCCTATTCTTGAGTAGTAGTGCTCTATAATTCCACTATTATTTTGCCCACCACAAGTTAACTGCAGACTCATGTACAACTGCTTACACCATGTTGCCTATTTGTTTGTTTTTTCTTTGTAGGTAGTTTTTTAAAATAGCCGATATCAAAATAAAATAAATGAATAAACGAAAAAAATAGCTGTCCCTTCTCTAGAAAACTGAATAAATACACAATTCAACTATCTACAACTATCTATTTGCCTCTTTCTTATTTTTCTCTCTCATTTTCTTCTCTACATCTTGGATTAGTTTTTTATTCAACTATGTCTCCACCTCTTTTAATTTTCTCTCTCTCATTTTCTTCAGAGTTCAGGCCACCCATCTTTCTTCACTTTTCGTTTCTCTATGGAATATCTTTTGGCTAGAGAGCCTCATAAAACTCTCAAATTATTGCAGAACACAGAAATACACATAGAATAGAGGGGGAAAAATACAATATGATTGCAAGTCTGATCTGCTCATTTGGTATGTTTACTGGAATTTGAGACGTACCTTTTCAAGAATTACCTAGAAGTGCATACAAAACTCGATCGCTTTATTGATTTAAATTAATTTTGGGTTGAGGAGTGTGTTTTCTTATTTCAATATGTTCATGCTATTCATAATCAAATGAGTTTTCACGCATATAGCCGGTTTTCTCTTCTTCTTATATTTCTTATCCCCTATCATTGTCTCCTGCAATTTCTCACGGCTTATGATGATTTATTTTTCATTTCAACCTTACGCCGTAGTGGTTCGGATTTTGTTTAGTGCCCAACATACATTAAAAAATTTGCTGCTGAAGAATTCAAAGTGCCTCCTCGAACCAGTGCCATAATCTTCAACAGTATTTTAGTTTTCTTCTGAAATTATACGGATACATAACTCTAGGTTTAAACTTAGGGGCATTTTTGTCAATTCCTAATTAGATTTATTTTTTTCCAAATTATTTTGAAGAAAAAAAAAACGTCCACTCTCAAGAAAACTCAATACACAATTTTCTAATTTTTCCACTTTATTGGTAGTTTGTAAAAAGGCCTTGCGATCTAGCAAAATATATTTTTCCTGCAATTGACATTGACAAAATGCATTTTGATCTTTACAAAATGCATTTCATCCAGGTTTAAAGTTTTTTCTCTATCTCATCCCCTTTCACACACGTTTTGTATGTTTTCACCCACCACTCCTTGCTTCCTTTATGTATGATTCATTTCTGTATGAACTGTTTCATAAATTCGAATCAAGAGTAAAAAAGGCAAATAACAGAGAGGGGATAAAGACTAGCCGGATCTCTCTTGAGAAGTAATTCAGCCAATTCTCGATTGGGTTTATGAACTCGGATTGTATATTTGTGTTCGATTCGATTTTTAAATCGTTTGACATCAAGTTTCCATAAATCTTTTTGGTGTGGACACTGTGGACGATTCGATCGTTTACTTAGTTTCCGATTTGTATTTATTTGCAAGTGTTTTTTTTCCCAGCATATGCTATTTTTTCTTCGTTTTTCATTAAATTTTGCTAATGTTGATTTGCAAAAATGATTTGGATTTTTTAATCCTTCGGATAGGAGGAATAGATGTAAAGGTTAGATGTTTTCATTCGTCTAGAAATTCATACAACACATTTTCCCCATTTATTTGTTGGCGATTATCTAAAGGTAAAATTCATTTTGTATATTAATGTTGATTGTTGTGGTTTGTCCGATGATAGTGCTACTCAGACTTCAAGCCATGACCATTGGAGAAGATATTAATCGAGAAGGACTAAGTGGCATAATATTTCTTAGAATTAAAAGACGTTGTGTTAGTGACTTTATAATTTTTTAATTTGATAAGGACTTAATATTCTTATCTTTATATTGCTTGGGAAACATATTATTTATAGAATCAATGACATTTTTTTCTCATATTGTTTTAAAAATCTATTATCCCTGATTATAGTCCAATGATGATTTATGTGCATTTAAACGTACATCTTTAAAAGATCATGTCAATGGTTATGGACTTAGAATTCTTTTACAAGCCCAAATTCATCAGTTTGCATGAGGTAATTATTAACAGCGAGAAGATGAGAGAAAATAATTGTTCACGTTCTCATTAACTACAACGGATATATATACAAGTAAAAACCCTATCAAATCATTTCTCGAAGATTGTTACAACAGATAAATACAAATCAGGTTTGTATCTATCTCTAAGCTAGTTTGAATTTGAAAATACGTTACGAGAATTGTGGATATGATATTTATCTGTTATGCCCTCTCAAGATGGAGCGCGAGAGCAAATTCCAATCTTGAATTTAAATAGCGTAAATGGTTGACGAGCAAGAGGCTTTGTCAGAGCATCTGCTATTTGATCAGCCGATGAGACATGAGCTACCCGGAGAACTCCATTTTGAACTTGATCCCTAATGAAGTGATAGTCAATACCAATACGCTTCATTCTCGAGTGGAAAATCGGATTCGAACACAATTGATTGGTCCCAATATTATCACAATAAATAACTGGACAAGACAGAAGCGTAATGCCAAGATCGCATAATAGATAGTAAATCCAATTAAGTTCAGCAGCTGTGTTTGCAACGGAACGATATTCAACTTCTGTGGAGGATCGTGCAACAACTCGTTGCTTTTTGGAACTCCAAGATATCGGATTTTTGCCAAGATAAACAACATAAGCACCAGTAGATGTATAATCATCCTTGTCCCCTGCCGAATCAGCGTCAGAAAAAGCATGCATACTAAGAGACGAGTCCATGTGAATTTGCAGACCATCATTAAGTGTTCCAGCCAGGTAACGTAAAAGGCGTTTCACATAGGACCAATGCTCAGTGGTAGGACAATGCATGTACTGAGATAGTTTATTAACAGTAAAAGCAATGTCCGGCCGTGTGATGAGCAAATATTGAAGTTTACCCACAACTGTCCTATATTCCGAGGGATCTTTCAAAGGGGATCCGGAGTGCGAATTGATGGAAGGACTTGTCGGCATAGGAGTGAGAACAGGTTTGGCTTGATCCATTTGAGTTTGTGCGAGAATGTCCTGTATGTAACATCTTTGAGAGAGCAGAACACCTGTTTTATTGGAAATAACTTCTACACCCAAAAAATAAGTTAACATGCCAAGATCCTTAATAGAAAACCGACGGGCAAGAGCATTGATAAACCGATCAATCAGGCTGTCATCATTACTCGTAACAATGATGTCATCAACGTAAACTATAAGATACAGAATATGACCATTAACATTGAAGAAAAAGAGGGAAGTGCGGCATATGAGTTTATAAAACCTGATAAAAATTGAAACTTTTTAAGTTCTTGATACCATGCTCGAGGGGCTTGTTTCAAGCCGTAGATGGCTCGTCGGAGTTTGCAAACATGTGTTGGATTTTCTTTATCAATAAATCCCGGTGGCTGCGACATATAAACATTTTCCGAAAGAGTTCCTTGAAGAAATGCGTTGTTGACGTCAAGTTGTCTCAAGGACCATCCTCGACTCAGAGCAATGCTAATAAGAACGAATGGTGGTTGGTTTGACCACAGGGCTGAATGTGTCATGGTAATCAAGGCCGGGTCTTTGATGAAACCCTTTTGCAACTAAACGAGCTTTGAACCTGTCAACAGAGCCATCAGGCGTGCGTTTAATTCGAAAAATCCACTTACATCCAGCAAGATTTTGACTTGGATTTGGTGGTACCAATTCCCATGTCCCATTCTTCACCAATGCATCATATTCTTCAGACATAGCTCGTCGCCATTTATGATTTTTGAGGGCTTGGGTCAATGTAGCAGGTTCAAAATCATTAGATTGGGTTAGTTGAACATGGAGGTTTAGTTTTTTTAGGGGTTTTTGAATGTTATTCTTGGCTCCGGTGGTCATTTGATGGGTGCATTGTTGTTGGTTTTGTGGGACAGGTTGCACCAAAGTGTTGTTGGTCGAAGGTTCGTGAAAAGTTAAGGCTTGTTGGTTGTCAGGGGAGTGAGTCAGAACTTTGACAGACACCTGTTGAGTAGCAGCTTCTGTAGATGGTGAACCGAGTGGTGGTAATGTGGGTGGTGTAGAAATGTGGATTGGTGGCGGAATCCAGGTGGTGATAGAAATGGGTGGCGTTTGAGGTAACTGTGTGGACAAATTTTTGAAAGGAAATACTGATTCGACAAACTTCACATGTCTGGAGACATAAGTTTTAGAAGTTGAGGGATCGAGACAAAAATATGCACTTTGAGTGAGAGAATATCCTAGAAAAATGCAAGGTTTGGAACGAGATTCTAATTTATGAGATGTGTATGGTTTTAACCATGGGTAACAAAGGCAACCAAATGTCTTTAGTTTGGAGTAGTTTGGTGTGTACCCAAATATTTTTTCAAAAGGGGCAATCATATTAAGGGTCGGGGTTGGCATGCGATTGATTAAATAAACTGATGTCGCAAAGGCATGAGTCCAATATGTAAGAGGAAGAGATGCATGAGAGAGCAATGCTAAACCCGTTTCTACAATATGAAGATGTCTTCTTTCGGAAAAACCATTATGTTCGGGCGTGTGAGGTGGTGTAGTGAAATGAGAGACTCAATGAGTGGCAAGAAAAGTGCAAGCGCAATGTATTCCCCGCCATTGTCGGAGTACAATGCTTTAATGTTTTTCTCAAAATATTTTTCAACAATGGTCTTAAATCTAATAAATATATGTTTGACTTCAGATTTTTGCTTGATGGGGTAAATCCATATGTATCGAGTAAAATGATCAATAAAGACCACATAGTATTTAAACCCATCAATGGAAATTATTGGGGAAGTCCAAACATCTGAAAATATAATTTCCAGAGGTTGATTTGAGATAAGTGTGGATTTTGAGAATGGCAATTTTTGACTTTTATTGGAAAGACAAGAATTACAAGATAGCTCGGCGGAGTTAGAAGATTCCAAGCTAAGTTTATTACGAGAAATAACATGATTGAGAATTGAAAATGCAGGATGTCCTAATCTATGATGTCACCCAAAGGTTGAAGTCTTTAAGCTAGAAAATGCAAGAATTGAAGTTGATACCGGCCATTCATAAACACCATCTTTAGCTCTGCCTTTCAAGAGTGTTGCCCCTGTGCGAAGTTCCTTCACAAGAAAATTGGATGATAAGAATTCAATAGAAGCATTGTTTGTGTTACAGAATTGGAAAATGGAAATTAAATTCTTTTTCATGTGTGGGACACACAAAACATTATCTAACTGAAAGGTACTTGAAGAAGTAGATAGGGATGTAGAACCAGTGTGTGTTATGGGAAGACCCGTGCCATCGCCAATCATAATGTCGTCCGAGCCATTGTATGGAATGTGCATTGAAAGATTAGCAAGATCAGATGTGACATGGTGAGAGGCACCACTATCCAATAACCATGTTGGAGGAGGAGGATTTGTCGAATGTGCAGCATAATGTGCGCGGGGCTGCCACGGAGTCGTAGACTGATTTGTCGAGTGGTTGGATGATGTACCTGGGACAAGTCTGAACGAGGGACATTTTTTGCAGTGTGTCCTTGTATCCAACAGATTTGACAATATCCCAAATATGGACGGAAAGGTGGACGAGTACTTTGATTTCCTGGAGCCGGCGTTTTGCCACCGTTGGGTATTGGAAATCGGTTTGAGTTCCTTGCAGGAACTCGCCAAGAAGTGTTTATGCTAGTCGGATTCGTCGTAGCAGGAAAATAGGTCGGTTGCGGTTTCGACATCAAAACTGAGGCCTCAAAGTTGAGCAACTTTTCATGAAGCTCCTCAAAGGTTATTGAGGTATCTCTGGCTTGAACAGCTCGAGCCAATTCTTTGAACTCATCACCGAGTTTATCAAGGATTTTTTCTGTAAGTTCATCCTCATCAATTGGTGCTCCAAGTAGAGCAAGTTCATCGGCTTTTGCTTTAATGGACTGCAAAAACTCCGTCACACTTTCAGGGCCCTTTGTGATTTGCTTTAGTTGATTTTTGACCTGATTGATGCGTCCCCGAGCTAGATGGTTTAGCATATGTGTTGGTCAAGATATTCCAAGCATCAGCAGAAGTTTTGGCTTGTGCAATGAATGGGATTATTGAGGGAGAAATAGAACCAATGATAGCATTAAGGATTAACTGATCTTGTCTGATCCACAAGATATGAGCTGGATTTGGAGTTGCTGTAGTATTTTGGGTGAGGGTGGCTGGAGGACATGGGGTTGAACCATCAATATAGCCTAATAAATCGTAGCCAGTGAACAAGGTTTGAAATTGCAACTTCCATGATATGTAGTTGGTGGAAGTAAGTTTAAGAGAGACTTGTGCAGCGAAAAGATGAGAGAAAATAATTGGTCACGTTCTCATTAACTACAACGGATATATATACAAGTAAAAACCCTATCAAATCATATCTCGGAGATTGTTACAACAGATAAATACAAATCAGGTTTGTATCTATCTCTAAGCTAGTTTGAATTTGAAAATACGTTACGAGAATTGTGGAGATGATATTTATCTGTTAGTATGCAGCAATTTGAGAATGAAAAGTACTATTTGGCAACACAAAATTTATTTTTTCTTTTAAAATATTTCTTTGCCCCTATCACCGATTCCTGCTTTTTTCTCACAGAATATAATATATATATATATATATATATATATATATATATATATTTTATTTAAAGCGTGAGAATTTAAACAGCCTATCTCATTATTTGAACAAATTATCACAGTTTCCTCGAATGTTAAAGAATGTTGAGAAACAATGGACCAAGAAATGACATGATATGTTGAAACTTCAACAAGCGACTCCACGTGTTTACATTGTGATATTGGAGCCTCAAGTTTGATTCTTCAATTGTAAAAACTATTGTTAACTGTATTGAAAAAGTTCTAAATATTATATATCTATTATACACAGTTTTTTTATGATGTGATGTTTTCTTTATTATTTAATTTCAGCATATTAAGTTTTATATAATTATTTTCTTCAATTTTAAAATAGTACTCCATGCAACGCACGGGGCATGGTTACCGTTATCATAAATAGAAAAAACACATTTCGAAGCTCAATCGCGCTTCAGTTATAAAGATTAAGGGTGAGTAGTAATAATCATGCTTCAAATTAGACAAGTCAAACAACTTTTGGCAAATAAAAATTTGAACCCAAAAAAAAAATATTATGCTTAATTTTTTAAATCAATTGAGGTCCAAAACGCAGTTCTGCACCCATTTGATAAATTGACTGTGTATTTTATAAAAACGCAAAAAATAGGTTTTTGCAGATGACCGCTGGAGTTGCTCTAATGAGTCACAATACTCGGAAACTTACAATACCTGCATATTGCACTGGACAAATCATGTGCGACAAAGCTCGAATAGAAAATTTTGGCATACCACAAATGGAATCAAACTCGAATCGTCTGATGTGATCAGACGATGCACTCTCTTTCTCTACCAATTAGATCGTCATTATGGGTAGTCGTTTACTTTCGATATAAATTTTAATCAAATACAATTATAGCACCAAACAAATGCACAATTTTATCTCGACTAGTATCAGATATCTCGTAATGATAATAATAATAATAAAGATGAACGTAACCCTTTTAACATATAGTTCGTTTCTGTCGATCACAAAACACACGGATGTTACAAATGAAAGAATTAGACCGATGATGTATAACAAAAGAGACCTTAATCAAGAACATGCGTGTATATATATATATATATATATATATATATATATATATATATATATATATATATATATATATATATATCTCTATATTTGGAGCCAGTCAGAGGGTAAGTTTCCTCGATCAAAAAAATTACGACCCGTTTATCTCTAAACCCGACCCGATTTTCATCATCAAAGGATAAACGGGGCTGAACTCCTTGTCTCCTCTCGCCCTCACCTTAGCGGCATAATCATCAAGCGTCGCTTTCACACCCCTCCAAATCTGATCCTCCCCCTGAGAATCCATCCATAGCGAGTACTGCAGCGGGGTCAGCCCGTTCCTCTGCATCGGGGACCTCAAATCGTCGGGCCCACGCGAGTACAGGTGGTGCAGCACCACGCTCGCCGGAAGGTCGTGCAGCAGCGGCGAAGCCGCCAGCTGTGAAGTCTCGAGAAACAAAACGGGCCTGAAAGCCCGTAGGGCTCGGTAGGGCGGGCCCAGCTGCTCAACCGGAAAAAGATTCTGCGCCACCACCAGCTCCAGCTCCGCCATGTCCCGAGCCATTCTCAGCTTCCCCGACTCGGACAAAGGCCTCACTAGGGAGGCGTGCCGGATGAAAAATGTAAGTACACGAGCAGCCATGCTTTTAACGAGTCTGGTACATATGGTCTCGCTTCGGGCCGGGCCCGCTTGACCGAGGAGCCTGGATAGGAATTCGGTTCGGAAGTGAGTGATGTTCTTTTGGAGGTCCTCCATGTAAGGGGATCCGTTGGTGGTGGTGGAGGAATCAGTGACGAAATTTTGTTGGTGAATTTGGAGGATGGAGGATTCGAGGCGATCGAGCATGGATTGGAAGAGGGAAGTGACGGAATCGACGGCGACGCCGTAGATGGTGCCGAGGGCGGGGGAGAGAAGGTCGGCGGCGACAGGTGGCATGCCGGAGAGCATGGAGGTGAGGCGGGCGTGGATTTCTTGGAGGTGAGTGCATAGGGTGAAATTCTTCATCTGTGCTTGAGTTGCGGGGCCCGTTATCTGCCGTGCTTCGGGGCCCGTTGATATCTGTCGTATTTATTTAACGGGAGAAAAAAAACGAAAAGAAGACATATTACATTGAGTGCCATTTACGAAACTAGCAAAAATAAAAACGCTTACCTGGTATTCAACTCTTTCTGAAAGCAGCATAAGAACTTTGTTGATCTCACGCAATAAGAGAAGAGTCAATCGTGCGTCCTGCTGCACGGCTTCGACCTCCTCCTGAATCCGAGACGTAATCCTCGAAATATGCTCTTTCGAGGGAATATTCCCTCTGCTCGACATCGGAAATACGGAGTTCACAAGATCCGAAAGCCTGCCCAAGCAAAGCGCTAAAAACGCCGTCTGGAAAATCTCGATAGCTGCCACCATTTGTTCCTTTCCCTCCAAAGTGACAGCTGGCGGAACCCCTTTGACATCAGTATCGCGTGAGATTCTTTCTAGAAGATTCTCGACTGTTGTGACGAGCTTTGGATAACCGACGGTGAATATCTCCTTCACAAAACTGGATGCGGTGAAAACGGACTTCATTTGGCTTGCAAATGATTTCATTAGAGCATCCCACACTCGATCGGTTAGTGTTGGATCACCTTCCTGAAAATTAATTGATAATTATATTATAAGCAGCATCAAAAGTATTTCGCAAAAAAAAAAAAAAAAAGATAAAACAGAAGAAAGCCAGTGTTACATCTTTCAGATAATATTAGAAATGTCAGATACACCTTGTCATTAGCTAGTCATAATATGATAATTGGCCACAAAATAAGAAGAGAAAAAATTCCCGATAAGTCGGGGTAGAATTTCGGTCAAAATTTCATACCGTTTACCGAACCGAAATATGTGGTTCGGTTCGGTAAATAACCGAATTACCAAAATTTTATTAAAAATATTTTAAAAAATGAATTTTTATTTATTTTAATAAATTGCAGTATAAAAATTATATATTTATTACATATATAAATATGAAAATAAAATAATAAATCAAAAATAAAATTTCGGCATTCAGCAAAACCGAATTACCGGAACTTCGGAGACCAAAAAATCGGATACCGAACCGAATTCTGCACGTACCGAATTTTCGGTTTGGTTCGGTCAGTTTACCAACTGGATGAACAACCTTAAGTGGGAGAAGCAACAATGAAATTAAGGGTTGCATCAAATTTATATTTGAGGTGTGTTGATTCTACCAAACAGCAAAAACACGACTAGAAACCTTAGCTAGACGGAAAAGTATGTATATGAATCCGAGCATTCGCAAGATAAATAGATATAATCTCAAAGGTAAATAAAAATATTATAAAAATAAAAAAAAGTTGATATTTCCTTCTTTCTCAAGCTTATAGCTTTATCGGCATCCAAAACTACTCGACAGTATGTAACTGCGCTGTCACTTATCATATTCACGAATAGATACATAAAGTGATTCTTAAGCTATGAAATATATTATCTTAGTGAATAATGTTCACATAAAATGCTTCGTTTATTCGGATTATCGACGAAGGTCAATATAATGTTTTGACAGTTAATCTGCCTTCTTTCCATTTTTCGATTTCCTCGTATAACACAAATCTCACTCAAGACCAATCTCACAGGACAAATCCTACCGTCGAATCCAAATTGTTCTATCCAAATACAAACGAGCACTAACCGAAGGCAAAATACTACATTACTCGATTTCCAAATAAACGAACAAGAACAACAACAAATAAACGGCCTACCTCCATAACCTCGTCGAGCAATAGAACATGCGTGAACGGATCACGTTTCTTGGACAAAACCCTCTGCAAATGCCAAACCGCCAACAAAATCGAATGCAATTGATCCATACAGCCACTAACCCTCTGCCAAAGAGCCTCCCTCGCTTTCGCCCCGCCCCCAATTTGCGGGGTCCCGTGTCTCTGCACCCCACCGGGCCCACCGCTACCGTACCCCCCACCCGAAATCGCCTTCATATCGAGCGCATTACTCACGCTCTTCACTCCAATTTGCTTATACTTACTCACTAATCCATCCACCGTACCCCTCAATTCTCCCATGTTGTAGAACACTTGTAACCCTAACCCTACTTCGGGTTGATTCAAACTCTCGAGCCCCTTTTCGAGTACTTTCATGCCCTCGTCTCGGATTTTCGATCCGATTTCGGTGACCCATTTCAATTCGGTGTCGACGGCGTCGATTCCGGATAAATGGTGCTCATTGTAGAGAGTTAGGATCTCGAAATGGAGCTGTGCGGCTTTCGAAAGATCCCATTTTGACGAATCGGGCTGGGTTTCGACGAGGTTTTTGAGCTTTTGGATGAGGCGGAGGGCGCGGATTGCGTGCTGGAGGAGGAGGGAGGTGGAGTGGAGGTTGCTGAGCTGGCGGGTCTGGACGGCGATGAGGCGGTGGGGATCGGAGAGCTCCGCCCGCGCGCGGCGGACGGAGGATTGGAGGGAGGAGAGAGAGGAGCGGAGGGAGGAGAGAGAAGATTCGGCTGCCTTGACGGAGGAGAGCTGGTTCAGGAGCTCGTGGTGGCGGGAGAGGACCTCGTGGCGGAGCTGGGTGTCGAGGAGGCGGAGGCCCTCCTGGAGCTTCTCGATCCGGGAGGCGGCGGAGCCGGAGGAGAGGGCGGCGGAGGAGAATTGGGTGGGGTTGAAGTCGGGGGAGAGGAAGGCGGAGAAGATGGAGTCGGAGGAGAAGGTGTCTAAGTGGGAGGGGGAAGGGGAGCGAGGGAATGGGGTGGCGGCGGCGGAGGGGGTGGGTGTGGCGGCGGCGGTTGGGGTGTTCTTGAAGGTGGAGAGGCGTTGGAGTGGGGATCTGGCGTTGGCCGGAGAAGCCATGGGACTGACGACGGTTGTTGTGATCTGTTTTTTGCTGTGCTTTATTTTTTTTTTATTTTTTCTGTTTCTTTTTCATCAATTCCGAATTTAGATCTTATGGAACATGTTTGTACATTGTGCATTAAGAGGTGTACGTTATTGCACTTTGGGCCTTTTGGCAATTGACTGTTTTGTATGATTGACTTCTTTTTTCTATTTTGTGTTCCTTAATTTTTATATGTGAAAGTAAAACTCACAAAATTACTTTTGGGTGGAAATCGAACAGAATGGATCGAAAACGATTTTTCGACGGTAATAAAATTGGGTTCCAATTTTTGTTTCAAAAAAATTGGAATGCAAAAGTTCTTTCCGATTTCGGAATGTCTTTGGAATCGGTGGAATTTTGAATATTTCGGAAATTACATTAGTTTATTATCTTTTATTCCAAATTCAGCGATAATGGGAATTTCACAATATATTTCTATATTTTCCAAGATTTTGCAGGAAAATCAGAAAGAGAGTTCGATAAAACGTAATAACTAAAACCACAGGTAGGGACAACAAATCGAAATATAGATTTCCTTATAAGAAAAATGCAACGTAAAGTTTCTTATAGGAATTAGTATTTTCTAAGGTTTTAATTTTCTTAATCCTTCATTATTTATATTTTACATATAAAATATAAAAAAATTATATTATGGAATTATAAAATATATTATAAAATTATATTTTGCATTTTAAAAAATCATAGAAATATTCGGAACTAAAATCGGATCGGAAATCAAAATTTCTGATAATTTTATATACCATTCCGATTGCCTTCCAAATAAATTTATAAATATTGGAAAGTGACTACAAGATTGTAGAAAACAACTACAAAAACTGAAAACAACTATAAACTATCGAAAACAATTATAAAATGTTGAAATCAACTATTAAATTGTTCCTCAATTAATTAACATGTAATCAACTACGAAATCATGCAAAAATTAATCGAAAAAACATCAAAAATAGTTTGAAATAAAAAAATGCAAAAATATTTGGCATGCTTTGAAACCTTAGGCACGAAATCCGTCATTAATTTTTTCTATTCCTTCACTTTTTCGTCTCCACTTTTGGAGAGATCCGTCGTCATAGTAGAATCTAAATTGAAACGGAGGAGCGTTGGTGGTGGCCGATAATAAGGGCAACAACGGGGGACGCGGGTGTGGCTTTGGTTGAGAACGAAGGCGGCGGTGATTGAAATAGGGAACAATGGGGGGCAGTGGCTGGGTAGAGAACGTCGGAGCGGGGGTATGGCTAAGGTAGACAGCGGTGGAGGACAAGCAATTTTAAATCTCAGGTAGAAGAAATGAAGAACCGGTTGGCGAAGAGAAAATAGAGAAGAGAGAATACTGGGGAGAATAAAAATAGTGTTTTACGTGATAAAAAATTGAAAAATGTATAGCATTATTGGCAGAACCCCAACTATGGCAACAACTGTGCCAGCAGTTGGTGATTTGGGGGACTCCTAGAGTGATAAGGTGCTCACGATAACTGGAGAGATAAGGATGACGAGTCCTACAAATCACGTAATATTGTTGACCGAGAAATTCCAAGTGATTTCCTATAGCAGCAAATTCAACCCCACCCCGACATGGTAGTTCAATAAGATAAAGATTATCTAGGATTTGAAGTCATCTCATGTAACTTACGATGCAATCTCTTCTCCTTTAAATAGAGATGTATTTTCTCATTCACTGTAACAAAAAAACACAGCCTTGTGCTCACGTTAAAATTAATCAAAAATATATTTTCTCCATTTCTTCTCTTGCTATCACGAGCCAGAGTGAGCACACACCAAAAAAAAAAATTTCTCGCAAACTGAACAGTCCACCTTCTGCTACCATGAATTCTTTATCCCTCGATATTGGAAATTTCATTACTCTTAAACTCAGTCCCATCAACTATCCGCTATGGCGCGAACAAGTCTTATCTCTTGCAGAAATCCAAGACCTACTTGGTCACCTTACAAATGAAGATCCAACTCCACCCCAATACACTACACCTGAAACTCCCAACACCACAAGTTCAATAGCTACTGCACCAAAACTGTCCGACGCCTACGTCACATGGCGAAAGGGAGATCGTCTTCTTCGAGGATGGATCATCGTAACGCTCTCAGAAGAAGCATCTGGTCTCGTTATCGGCCTTGACATAGCAAATTCGGTTTGAGAAGCATTAAAGAATGCCTACGCCAAATATTCACAAGAACATGAATTCACACTTAGACAACAAATAACTTATCTCTGTAAGGACGACGAAAAAACAATTGGAGAGAATATTCGAACCTTCAAAAGCCTATGTGACAATCTCGCCGCAATCAAAAAGGCCGTCCCTGATAAGGGAAAAGTGTTTTGTCTTCTCACCAGCCTCGGTCCTAAATATGAAACTTTCACAACTACTATGCTCAAACCGCCGAGGCCAACATACTCCAAGCTAGTCTCACAACTTCAAAATTTTGATCAACGATGTAGTTGGTTTTCCACCAAACAAACACTACATCTTTTGCTTCCCATATGGCATTCTATAGCCAACAACAACGCCCGTCTCATCAATCGTCCTCAGGATTTCAAAATCATTAACAAAAGTTTAGTTCAAATGGAAGAGGATTTCAAGCACAACAACTCAGAGATCGGAATTGAAGCTACTCCAGCCATGCCTCGAACACTCAATAAAAGCGGCCTCCACCAATTGGACAACGTCGTATGACGCATGCTGAAAGAGATCTATACTGAGATGACAAATTTCAATATTGTGATGCGGTAGGACATATTGCTAAAATATGTTGGTGGGTGCCGAAGAAACCAACTCACCATGAAGATATACCCTAGGCACTTACAACACTCACCTTAGACAACATCGTCACGAAAATTGAATGGACTTCAGATACAGGCTCCAAGTATGCTTCTAATATTCAGTAATACTTGGGTATTGACTCGGTTCTCAACGGCGACGGATTTTACCTACCAATTATTGGTATTGGAGATTCGAGCATTAGTTAAGAGAGTAAAGTTTACCACTTACAAATGTTTTGTTAGTTCCCCATTGAAAAAAATATTGCTTTTTGTAAGTCAGTTAACATCTCAATATCCCATTAATTTTGAGTTTACTGATAAAGATTTGTGTGTTAATGAACGAGAATCAGGACAAGCGATGGTCACAGGGAAGCACAAGGGTGATCTTTATGTCATTCGTAGTTCTCCATAACTTTATTTCTCTCATCATTTCAAATTTGGTTCAACGGAAATTTGACATCAACGATTATGACATCCTCAATTTTCGAGTTTACAATTTAAAAAAAATAAAGGTTTCATTGATGTAGTTGGCAGTATTAAACCTAACCATAAATTTGATAGTTGTCAATTAGGAAAACTAAGTAAATTACCTTTTTCTAGTTCTCAACATTCAAGTTCGTCTAATTTTGAAAAAAAAAAAATCATTGTGATTTATGGGGACCTGCTCCTATTTTATCAATCGGCAAATTTAAAATATTATGTTTGCTTAAAGCATCTCCGACCGGTCGCTATATTGCCATTTTTTCATCTAATTTAGGTGTTTTTATCCTCCAGCTCGAAATTCCTATATCATCATTACACCTAAAATTATGGAGATTTGGTTTTAGCCTCCCACCGTGGTCAACCCCCATATCACCAGCTATTCAAATCCTATTTTTCCACCAAATGTTTTGGTAAATGAATTTTCATCTCCTACCGGTCCACAATTTTCCTATTTTTTCCACCAAATCCCTTTTTTCCTACCAAATATAGAGGTAAAAATAAGATTTGGTGTAATTAACACCATTTTATTAACTAGCATATAAAATGACGATTTTAACTAATTGCACATGCTTACCAACTTATTAGCATATTTATCGTAAATACATTGGTGTTAATTACTAAATTAGTTTTTAAATTATAAATACATTTGTTATTAATAATAAAAACATTAATTCTAATAATATAAATATGCTTATTTTTAATTAATTTGTATATTTATTTTGGTATCAATGTTGATTAGTTCATTTCTTTACTTGCTATTAGTAAAATATAATAAGCAACAATAGAATGATTAACGAAACACACTTTAACTGATGAAATACAGGACGAGACATTTAAATTGAAAACATAATTTTTAAAATTGATAACATAAGTTTTAAATTATATAGTTAAAAAATTTATTACTTAACATTAGATCTATAGTTAATATTTATGAAATAAAATATAATAAAATTACGATTAACATTAGATTTATAATTTTGGGGCATATATGGTGAAATTTCATGGGAGACCAAACCAAATTCCATTTTTTATAAGTGGTGAAATGGTGAAATATTATTATTTTAATATTTGGTCTGAATTTTGGTGAAACCCATTGGAGGCCAAAAACACCATTTTTCCACCAAAAAATGGTGGAAGGGTAAAATGGTGTGCTACCGGTGGGAGATGAACCCATTTTTTTACCACAAAAAATGGATTTGGTGAAAAAATGGTGAAACCGGTCAGAGATAATTATTCCAAATATACTTGGCTTATTCCTTTCCAATTTAAATCTAATTTTGTTGATGCATCTTTTTCTTTTGAACAATGTCTATCTTCAATTTAATTAAAAAAAAAAAAGATTTTTCACTCATACGGGGAAGGCGAATTCATAAACACAAGGTTATCTACTCACTTTCTTTCCATTGAAATTATCCATCAGGTATCATGTCCATATACTCCAGAACAAACACGTATGGTTGAAAGACGTCATAGAATAATAAGAGAACTTGGGATGACCATGTTGTTTCATAGTGGTACCCCTCTCTTTTTATGGATCGAGGCATTCGCTACGGCTGTTTATCTAATTAATCGCTTACCTACGTCTTCCCTTAGCAATGAAATACCATACTTTAAATTGCATAATACCCACCATGATTACACCTCCCTTCGTGTTTTTGGCTCTAATTTTTTTCCTCACACATGGGATACGTGAAAAAATAAATTTGATGCGAAAAGAGTCCCTTGCATTTTTCTTGAATATAGCGACAAACATAAAG